AGTGTTTACTAGATGTGCGGTATTCTTGCATATAAGACCGCCAAGAAGTGACGGCAACAATGTAATTGAATTGCAGACAGAGATAGAGACAGACAATTGAGTCAAGCGCGTGAGTCGTTCGTTGTGAATTTTAGCGTTTGTTTAAGGTATAGCGTGACTGTGGAAATTAAGTGTATTGCAAAGATGTATTGAGAAAGAATAAACTAGTTTTATTTAAGAAAGAACTTGTATCGCTAAAGTTTCTTCTGAAATAATTTTTACGGAAAATTAACAAACGAACACAGAGACGTAACAATACTAAAGAAGGGGCAGTGTTACGACAGCGGAAGTCAAGCGACGCTGGGAGCATGCGCGCTGGAGTTTCTGGAAGGATCATGAATTTTTCTGGCAACTCTAGTTTGTTCGAGTTGCCCTCTTTTTTAGTATATAAGCCTGACGAGAAAAACCAGCGTGATCAAGAGATATGCAGATAGATTGAAGATAAAGATAATTGAGTCAAGCGAACAGTAGGCACTGTAAGTAAAGTGTGTGTGAATCACTGTGATTTATCGCGTGTGTTATAAAAGTTGTTAAGTGTATTTGAAAGTTGTATCGAGAAAGAATAAACTAGTTTTAATTAAGAAAGGACTTGTATCGCTGAAGTTTCTCGGAAAGAATTTATACCGGAAATTAAGGAAATTATCAAACAAGCACATACGTAACAACGCCATCCCATCCATATACCATGGGCCTTGGAAGAGAAAAACACCAAAAAAGTCTTTGTTAATGGACAATTTAGTGTGTTATTTTATTTTTGTTATGTGTTAGGATTGTTCAAATAACTTCAAGATCAAGGAAGGGATATTTTCATTGTTTTAATTTAAATGTTAACTAGATAGTGCATGATGTTAAGACTGATAAATTTTGACTAATATCTAGACATGGGTACATTAATTGTAAATACGAGTTAGTTCAGTTACATCAGTGATTTGGATTTCAATGAAGTATTTAATAAGAGGTTCATGAAGTATTTATTGAGACATAATTGAGAATTGAGTGAACTATTCAATGTGTGAATGATGAGAAAGGATTGATTGAGTAATGTTATTAAGTTAAAGTTAGTACTTCTGTAAGCTAATCAGAAAGTTAGTCAGCTCAATCAAAAGAACTTTCTATTAAAGACTATTAAACATACAGTAGTTACAAAGTTGAAATTAAAATGTTCGTTTGTGTACTTAGGCTTAGAAGTTGCGTCAAAGTAAATGTAGTCTGCAGCAAATGTTATAGAAGAAATAAATTAATTCGTTATCGTTATGTGAACTGAACTTAGCATTATTTTTACCAAATAATCGGAGAAAAAAGAAAATAACACCCAACGATAGAACACATTACAACAGTATTTAAAATCTATCTGAGGGTGACAAAATTCGACGAAACAAAGGTAAAATAAACAAAATAGGGACATAGATAAACGTTTCGGAATTCTATCAGATTCCATCTTCAGTATCAAAAGCAAAATAAAATAACTTTACATAAGTCTTTGGACATTGTCAAAGTACAATTGCTAAATATAACGATAATTAAACAAGTAAAACACAAAACAGTAATCATGGGGAGAAACCACAGCAAGAAAACACAACAACAACAACAAAAGGTAAAATCAGTAATACGATGTTACGTCTCCGTTTGTTAATT